TTTACCTACATACATTTTTATGATTTCTAGGCTACTTAGTACAACTATACCACACTGATCGAATTGATTGATCCAGCCAGCTGGCCAGCTGGCTTGCCTGTCTGCCTGCCTGCCTTCCCTCCCTCCTTCCCTCCCTCCTTCACCTGGGTGTGAGCCCCATTCAGTTCTGTGGAAACTACTGCTGCATACATAAGGTTGTACTGTTTGGCTCTGAACCCTCTCCAGTCTGAAAATCCAAAGATTTGTTGAAATAACCATGACTCTCAGTCACTTGCCATCCTGGCTGGAGATTATGGGCATTGCATTCCAACTTAGCTGGGATATTGGATTGGTGAAAACCTTCTCTAAGGCCTTCTCCTTGAGTGGATGGAACCTAGGAAACAGGAAAAGTGACAAGCAGGTTTGAGGCTCCGATTGCATGTGACAAGGAATTCTCAAGCTTTCCCCCCTCTTCCACTGCTTTAAAAAAGCCACACAACCCAAAACTAGGTGTCAGGAAAGATGGGCCACTGAGTGGGGACTGTTTCTAACACCTTTCCCCTTTTGAGGATCTTTAGCGCAAGTCACACTCCCCTCAGTAACTTTTTTTCTTCAGTGGGAATGGTTTAAGCAATCATTCCCCTCCATGGATGAAAAACTGTTGTGAAAATTCCTGTCTCCAAAGTTTTTTAGGGCCAAAACATTGAACTGGGGGATAGGGCAAAGCCTGGTGGCATCATAATGAGTGAGCTCGTGCAAAGATTCTAACATAGTTTGTGTGTGTGTGCATGTGGGTGTAAGACAGAAATGTCATTGTTTCCCTTTTGCAGTATCTGTAAACAGATATGTACATGCAGACATATACGAGAACATCTTTGTGCTGAGCCACTGAGCTGTAGGGGAAACTGAGAATGAGGAGGAGATGGGCAACTAAATTTAGAGCCATATAAATGAGCTTTCTCTCATGAAAACGTGCATGATCTGTCGGTGGAAGCAGAGCAGCCTCAGTAGAATGTTTTTAAACCATCTCAGTGAGATCTGAGCCTTCGTATTACAGGTTCAGTTCTCTTGTGATTCCATGAATGCTGCCGAACCAGGAGAGTTATAGCCATGAATGTTATTTTTGTCTTTCAGGGCCGACAAATCTTGGGGGTGCCTGCTGAAGTTTCATGGAATTGTCCTGGATCTCCAGGAAGTGCGTAAAATCTCAAGGCAAGCCACACTGGAAGAGGAAGTATAACTTCTATATGTGAAACAACTTCAGAGACAAAACAGCTGTTTCTACCCATTCCAGAGCTGATGCTTTGGCTCCCCGGTTCATTGCAAAGGTGTGTCTGTGTGTGCTCGGCTGAGCAGCAGTGGCGCTGAGCATGGGAAAACTCTTTACGTGTCCTGCATGCTGTCATTGAGGAGGCACGTCCTGCTGGAAATCGTAGCAAAACGTCTGCCCCCATATCTCTGGATGTCCTGCCACCCAGCTAACTCATAGTAGTTGGACCTCACCTGGGTTTGTTCCACCCGATTTCCCACACCCTTGTATCTACAACCATTTGGACCAGAAGCAGTGCCCACGGTCCCTCCTGACCGTTGCTTGTCAGATCCAGAATGAGAGAAATGCTGCTGACCAGGCTACTCAGACTTTGAAAGAGGCCATGACCAGAAGCCACAAAGGAAACAGCCCATGGTGGAGATAGTCCAAGGAGTTTTGGAACCTGAGGGAAAATGTGGCTGCCTCCGCCATAAAGATAGCATAAATTTTATCTATGGTGACTGGTGTTACCTCCAAAATGAGATTATGAGTCTTGTATATAAATGTAGTAGAAATACATGTAATGGGATATTTTTAAGTTTTATTTTATTTGTAAAACTGCAACTTTTAAAATATGACAAGTCCCAGATTTCCCATGGAGGTCACAAACTCTAGTTTGGGGAATCTTCTGCTGAGAAGATAACATGTGCATGCACAGCACCTGTGGTAAGGTGGACAGTGTCATTGTTCCAAATGGTAAGACCAGGTTCAATCAAGACATGCAGTATCAAATTAGATCACATGAAGGAAGTGATGCGTGTTGACCAAACCTGGCCTTATAATGCCAAGGAGGAGGGACGTCAGCATGCTTTTAATACTGAGAAAACAAACACCATAATTCAGGCATCCTTAAACCTGCATCCCTTTCATTGTTCCACTTCAGTAACTCTTTCTTTCCACTATCGCGTTCTGAGAAGTGGAAATCCTCTCAGGTACATACAACCAACAGGAAAGGGGAGAAGAACTTAGAAAATGTGTTGAAAGGTTACAAAACAATTCAGGCCACCCACAACAGGGTTTGTTAGGTACATTTTGGGTATATCACTGCTTGTTTTTACTGCTGAAACAATTACATACTGACCATTTTTCATCAGGTTTTTTGGGGGGGGAGGTGAAAGCTGGCACTGTCTAAATTCATAATTGATATGTGTCAAAATATGGCAGATCAGTGTATAATTTTCGAAAATTTTCCTGCTCCTTCTTTTGGTTAATGAGTTTTCATGCAATTTGCTAAGTCCACAGCGCCACCTAGTGCTAAAATGCAGTATTTGATTCTGTCTATTTCTTGCCCATGAGAGAAGATTGAGAGAAACATTTGGACACAAATGAGAAAGAAACACTTTTTTAAAAAAGGTGAAATTAGTAAGCAAAACTAGAAACAAAAACTATTGATATAAATAATTATTCTCTCTCATATTTTACATATATACATTTATATATATACTTGGCATGTGCCCTGAAGTACTACTGCATTAGATGTAAAATTTGACCAAATGGGTTTGCAAAACATAAAATAGTAAATGTGGTGAAAGCTACCAAAGAATGCTTTAAAAGAGACTTTGCCCCCATTTTGTAAACAAACTTTGCCCAAACAGTGAGGAAAGCAAGGCTCAATTAAATAGGTATATTTGGCCCAAACTACAGAGTAGAGCTTTCACAAAATTATATGGCCTGTATCCTATTGCATGTCCCAACTAGAGCAGACTGAAAACTCTAAGGCATTTACATTTCCAACTGATTCTGTGGGTCTGTACATATTGGCCAGTACAGCACTGGCCAAAATGTTTGACCCAAAAACCACAGACCAAGGCTTGAAGATGATTGACGTTGATTGACTGCCTGAAAAGCTTAAATGTTCTGAAAGAAAGGCTAGTCTGTGTTTAAGATTCTCTTATTCCCCCCACCCCCGGAATGTTATTTTACAGGTTAATAGACTCAATTTGATTTAATTGGAGTTATGAGTTTATTTTGGCGAATACAACTTTTCACTTTGGTTAGATGCAAATTGAACCGTGAGGGTGAATCTAGGAGATATTGTGTGTGTGCAGGTAGGTGGACCCCCTCCAGGAGATGCCCTTGCATGGGGCCATAGGTGAGATGGTCACATGCATGCTCTGTTCAGGAGCTGTTGCACACTTTCTGTTCTTGGCTGGAACAGGCTACACCCACGTGGTTGATCGCAGGTCTGTTACCAGGGTTGTGACCACTCACCAGTTGAGGTGCATGGTCCCCAGATCATGTCTTCCATGCTAGCACCAGGAGCCATTGGCTGCTGTGACCAGTGATGTTGGCCAGTTTTATTCCAATCTCTCTCTCTCTCTCTCTCTCTCTCTGTGCGTGTGTGTGTGTTTGTAGTCTTTTAATTTTTGTCTTTTAATTTTCCCCTCACTCCAGGAGACATTCATTAGGCTCACTGGCAATCACATATTCACAATGAAATGATAATGTCTCTAACAACGCGATAATTTGAAGTGCTGTTTATTTTCTTACGGTGAGGAGCAATGCAATATAAACAATTTCAGAAGATAGGAAAATACCACATGATAGTATGGAGTATTCGAATGGTATGGAAGATAAATTAACTGGATTTTCACTTCTGAAAATACCTGACCTGCAGCGGAATGCATCACACCTTGCCTCAGAAATCTCTGTACCTGTGAAGTTCATCAAATACTTTGGAGTTGGAAAGTGCACATGAAACAATATATACATTTTTGAGGGGGGAAAGGTGTGATATAAAATGTGTGTAGTTCAAAAATGTCCACCAATACACTTTAATCAATGTGAAAATGTCTACAAAAATGTATAGGAATGTGCACAAAAATGTGTATACAGTAGGAAAATGGAACCCATAACGCAAGCACACAATTGTAAAAATGTGTAGAAAATATGCATAAAATCTTATGGGCCGAAGAACCCTCACGGCCCAGTGCAGAAGTGGGATGGAACAAGAATGTCAGGCGGAATTGTGAGACTCCTTGAGAACAGAACAGATGGATCTGTTCGGATAGTATCCACCTACATTTGTTTTCATGGCCATCTATTTACAAACAAGAGTGTACTTTATCTCTTTTGTTTAATGAAACAAAGCCTATACAACTCTTTGTGATACGCAGAAGCATGCTTGCTTACTCCTCCTTGATTTTTCTGATTACTGTAAAGCAGCCTAACAGGTTTGAGCAGTTTGCATCCCCCCACTGATTACAAGATCACTACAGTCCTCCACAGATTAAACAACTGGCTAGAATGAAGCGTCAAACTAGTTGTTCAGTGGAACACTGATTTCCTGCCATTAATATTAATTTGCAAAAACAAGGTGGGGGGATAGTAGTATGTTAGCATACTTGATACATGTAGCGTGACTACTACAACAATGTGCATTTGTCTCTATGCATTAAATAATAAATACTGGATTCCATGGGGAAGGGACAAACATCCTGCCATAGACATCCATGGAATAACCTATTTTATTTCAGCTTTTCCTCAGAATTATGTGTCGCACCAGTCAAACTTGCAATTAACTCCATGTTTTCCTTCCAATGGCCAATCACATGGCAAAGCATGTTAAATGCAATGTACAGAAGTAAGGAAAACCATGTACCATTAAAAAAAGATGTATTTCACCACTTGAGAGTACTCTTCTAAAAGCATGATAAATGCATTTTTAAAGTCTGACTCTAGTTTTAATTAAGACTGATAGGATGTCTTCTTTGAAAGAGAGAGCACATCCTACCCACACTGAAGGAAAACATCCTCACTACTTGCTTCCTTGTATTCTGCCCTCTTGGTGGTGGTTGTGTTTATAGCACTAAACTGGGAGAGGGAAGATTCAGGGCGATGTCCCCACTGAGATTTTAAACTCACTGGGCGAATGCAGACCAGTCACTCACTCTCTTCCTGATAATCGTCCCAGAATTGTGAAGACACAGTGAGGAAAGGAATTACGTGTGTTATTTTAAGATCACCAGAAGAAAGGTAAGAAATAATTATAATGTCTACATAAAATGATAACTAAACAGAATGTCCAGCTAAACAGCAAACCTTGGGTATTTTTTAAAAAACAAATAGTTATTTACAGTTATAGTTCCAAGCTCCAGTAAAGGAATTAGTAATCATTACAGACACAATTTTAGTTAGTAATTGTTTGCTTTTACTTTAACAAAAGGAACTAAATAGTTATTGTCTAAGATAGAGACTCCCAGCAACAGAAAGTCTGAACAGGAAAGTAGAGCAGACCTAGGGTAACTAGGATATCCTAAGCCATGAAGCCTTCCAGCCCAGCTTTCCTCCAGGTGAGCACAATTTAGGTGTGGGTCTGGCAGGTGGAACTTCCAGAACAAAGAATTCTGGGATTTGGAGTTCAAAAACTCTCAACTTCAACAGTAACAAAATGGGACATACCTAGTGAAAGAGAGCTGGAACTACCATGCACACAAATTACACAACTTCTGGTGTAACTAGTGTGCAATGCAATTGCAATAAGATTGTGGTGAATACAATACAAATAGTAAAAAGACAGAATCTGCTTTTTGCATCTCAGGATGTAGACTGAGATAGAGGGGTGAAGAAACTGTTCTCTCCAAATGTTGTTGGAATCCACAGTAGAGATGGGGGCAACTCACCATTTTAGCGAGTTGTCCCGCTTCATGAGTTGTCAAAAGTTGATGGCTCACAAAGCACGAAGTTGCCCCCATGAAGTGATGAATAACAATTTGTGGGGGATTTATTAAAAAATTACGGTAAGGTGCGGAGAGGAAGGGGGTGGGGACAGGCTGTGGGTGTGGGTGGCTGCCTATAAGCCTGCTGATCACATGATCAGCGGCCGGGAGGCAGAATGGTGTATTTTTGTTAGTGGGTGGTTGCCTATCAGCCTGCTGATCACATGATCGGTGGCCGGGAGGCAAAATGGTGTATTTTTGTTTGTTTGCTTGCATTTTATTATGAAGGACGAATAAAAATATTTGTCGATCCGTATTCATCGGGAATTAAAATTTGATGAATACGGATCAACGAATGTTTCACAAATCGGATATTTTCATCGAAAAAGCTGATCCGTTTTTATATTCATCCCCATCTCTAATCCACAGTAATCTCATCATCCCACCAATAATCATGGTAGCTGTGATGTTTACCCTCATGGTCCCTGCTTGTCTTTTCCTCACAAAGGCTCACATCACATTTTCTTCTCACTGGCACCAGTGAATTACCTCAATCCATGATATAAATTATGTTTGTCAGAATACTTGTCTTGTGAACAGAACCAGAACTTATTTATTGAAGTGAAGCAGATTGAATAAAAACAGAAGTTTCTCAGATACACATTATGCATTAGCAATTCATTGACAGTTCTCTCAGTACATACTTCTTTTCTCTTGCAATATCATTACCACCTTCTTTGCCTCTTTTTCTAACCAGCTCTCTCTCTCTCAGTATCTCATCCCAATCTCTATCTCTCTGACTAATCAGCCCCCTCTCTCTGACTAACCAGCCCTATCTGACTCCTCCTTCTTCTGCCAAGCCTCATGTAGCTGCTGACTCCACCTCTCCAGACCTCTCATAGGTTAATTAGCTCATGAATATGAAAGGCATGAGTGATGTGGATGGTTGCCACAGTAGCTAGATCTGGTGGGAACTGTACTCAGAGAAAGGCTGGACTGGAAGGCTCCATCTTAGACAATATTTACTGTCTAAAATCTTTCAGAAGAAAAGTAAAAGGAGTGGAGGAGGGGTGGATTAAGGGAGGAGTCATGTCCAGTCAAACCTCCTCCAGCCCAGGGACACTGCCACAATGCTGGCATAAAGTTAGATCAGGATAAAGCTAGTCCTAAGTAATTTCCAGCATCCCTAAGCTGGTAAATGTTTGGATTTAACAGTTTCAGGATGTCTTCAATCATTTTGGCTAATTACAATTATGATCTTAATTAGACCATATTAACACAATAAGAGTGATGTAACTCTTTTTTTGGGGGGGGGTCAAATTCAGTTACTCTTTTTCATGTTCTTCTATCTTGAGTCTGTTATGTCCTATTTCCATACCAGTTTTTGGTTGGACAAATTCAAATCACGCTTATTTTGCAAACTTTTTTTCCATTTAATGCAATTCTAGAAGGTCTCCCCCCCAAACAAGGATGTACACAAATGATGCATTACATTTTTATGTTCCTTCTCCCCCAAATGCAAGTTATTGTTTATTCAGGAAAAATGTACTATGATATTCCAAAACATGTAACAAAGGGTAACAGGATACATACTTGACACAATATAGATTTGGTACTTTCTTAACAAAATGGAAACCAGCTCAAGTTCTTCTCCACTGCTTCATCTAGATAATGTTCTCATTTCTGGTTTAATTAATTTTCAGGCATTTTCATAGACTTAACTCCAACTGATACTCCGAATAGAATTGTTAATCAAAACTTATGTAAATCCCATTGAATAAATAAAAAGTCCCCCCAAACAAGGATGTACACAAATGATGTATTACATTTTTATGTTCCTTCTCTACTGGCTGGCTGAACAAAAAAAGGCAATTCCACAATGGACTTCCTCACATCGAGAGTTACACTGTGTAGTCACCAGGTTTTGATTCAAATTCATCTGTGCCCAATCTGACATAAACTGTGAGCAAGTTCTTCTCCACTGCTTCATCTAGATAATGTTCTCATTTCTGGTTTAATTAATTTTCAGGCATTTTCATAGACTTAACTCCAACTGATACTCCGAATAGAATTGTTAATCAAAACTTATGTAAATCCCATTGAATAAATAAAAAGTAGGCTTCAATACTTTGGCCATCTGATGAGAAGAGAAGACTCCCTGGCAAAGACCCTGATGTTGGGAAAGTGTGAAGGCAAGAGGAAAAGGGGACGACAGAGGATGACATGGTTGGACAGTGTCATAGAAGCAACCAACATGAATTTGGCCCATCTCCGGGAGGCAGTGGAAGACAGGAGGGCCTGGCGTGCTCTGGTCCATGGGGTCACGGAGTCGGACATGACTTAACGACTAAACAACGGCAACAACAACTCTAGTTGGAACTAGCAAATGGATTTAGGCCATAGTAGTTTAAGCTGTATCTAAAAGAAGTCAAAGGGTACCACTACACAGTGATGAAAATATGATTTGATTCACTGCGTATTTGCAGTTTATCAGGTGGCATTTCCCCAGATGAACTGCTGTAGCCATTTGATAGACAATCTGCAGGAGTCATATAGCAGAGGCAGATAATTAAGTTTGTATGGAGCTCCAACACTAGAAGCTGCTTTAAGGGGTTAACAAGGTGCTAAATGGCAACTTCCACCTCCGTTTTATTTAGTACTCCTAAGTGCACTAGGCTGGCTGGATAGTTCAGTGGTTTAGGCATCAGAGCTAGAGGTTCAGAGTTTGATTCCCCATTGTGTCTCCAGGGAGAAGAGTCAGCCTATGTAGCTGTGGGCTAACTGCACAGAAGAAGGGAATGATAAACCATTTCTATGCATTCTTTACCTAAAAAATTCTGGAAATAGTTGTCATTAATCAAAATTCATTTGATGGCACACAGATGTTAATTATTCTTAAGTGAACCAGTGATAGTGTGTTCTAGCACTGAGCTGAAACTTCTTCCTAAGGAAACTGGAGACTAGAGGTGTTCGGCTGAGGAGAACTGATACCTTTGTGAGGGCCTCTTCACATTGGATCAGGCACTTACAAAAGTGGGCAAAAGCAGTATCAAACTAATTGTAACAAACCACCCCTACCGGCTGGCTGAACAAAAAAAGGCAATTCCACAATGGACTTCCTCACATCGAGAGTTACACTGTGTAGTCACCAGGTTTTGATTCAAATTCATCAGTGCCCAATCTGACATAAACTGTGAGGGAGAGTCAGTGTCAATTAGTTTCCATTAAATGTAAATAGGTTTCCTCTAGATTAGTTTCCAAACATATCCTAAACACAGGCCTTTCTTGCCTTTAACTGGGAACCTAAGACCAGTGTTCAAAGACTACCATTGTTGGGCCCTAAGAGACTTCCTTTTCAGTATTGTCAAACTACTCACAACTAAAGCTCTCTCGTTTGAATGATTGTTACCTCTCCATATGTACCATGCTAAAGACAAAGTTGTTAATTCTAAGTCTAATAATATAGCTATAATATTTATTATATACTTGGTTATTTTAAACACTCCGCATATTGTGACAAGCAGATTTCCTACAATAGGCCAAGTCACATGAACAGAACACTTTTTAAGGAGGAAGGAACATAAGCAAAGAAGTAAAAGACACCCACTAAAAAGCTGCTGGTGTCAAATAATTCCATATCCTGCTGTTGCCCATGTTTCAGCGACACATTATCTGCCACAGAAGAAAGAAATAGGGCGGTGGTGGGGATCCATGTTGCCAAATGGTTGTACAGAACCTTATAGGAACTGGTCACATCACAAATCTTATGCGCACCAACGTGCTTTTGGCTAGGGGATTATATCACATATGTAGCAGAACAGAGAAAACAAGAAATTCAGGAAAATAATGCCTTCTGCTCAAAGACAGCTCATGACAGTGTCAGAGGCAGAAGAGCCAAATGGCTCCTGCCCAATCCTTGCTGGTAGTAAAAATATAATAATTGACAATATGCTGCTCTAAAACCGTGTCCCTGTACTTCATCTGAACCAGGCTCCCTCACTTTGCCTAATAAGGAGGGCTCGCATGGCTCCTTCTGAACCATTGCTGTGCATGGATTTAAATGCTATACACATAATTTTGGTGGATTTCAGGATTGAGGTCGTACACTTTGTCCAAGAGATGTCCCAGGACAGTCTCCATGTTCTTGTGGAAGTTACTGGTGAGGGTCCGGATTTTTTCTGTGGTTTCCTCATCGACTTTTGTTGATAGGTTACCTTGGGAGCCCATTATCTGCAAAAGCAAAACAAGCCATACAGTAAGCTAAACAAAAACATACACAAATGCTTACAGCACCTCTGTCAGTGTTTAATACCTTCTCCGATGTCAGGGATGCTATTAGAGTTCCCAGGCCTCAGGATCTGGCTCTGGGACGGGATTCAGAGTCCATTCCTCAGGTCCTGGACTACAGATCTGAAATTTCAGGGATTGGGATACTGTCATCCTGACTATCCTAGTTGTGGCTCGTTCTTCTGGCTTCAGATCATGAGATTTAGATAGGCATTGAAGCACTCTTGTCTTTTTTATTACAGGCACTAGGTCTGCAGTTGGCAGAATTCACACATTGGTCTTTAAACTCAACATGGAGTGTCTACTTTCACAAACACACACACACACACACCACTTATGTGAAGAACTCCCCATCCCCCCCCCCAGCATCTCAAGGATCTGCCCAACACACACACACACACACACCATTTATGTGAAGAACTCCCCCTCCCCCTCCCAGCATCTCAAGGATCTGCCCTCTGGTTTCATTCTTTTACACTGAAACAACACAGAATTGGATGCTGCTGACCCAGCAAACTGAGCTGTTACACCAGAGTAGACACTGATGGTTGAAATCAGTGGTTCTTAACCTTTGTTACTTGGATGCTTTTGAACTGCAACTCCCAGAAACCCCAGTCAGGACAGCTGGTGGTGAAGGCTTCTGGGAGTTGCAGTCCAAATCTCCTGAGTAACCCAAGGTTAAGAACCAGTGGTTTAAATTATTCTAGCCCATTTTTTCAAATATCTGCATTTTAGTCCACTTTTGAATATACAAATATATTTTTGTGTATGTTTTAATCTAAAGTCCATATTGTAGTGTTTACTTTTTTGTACTGTATTGCAAAATTCAGAAAATTTCAAAAATAATATGAAAGGATTGCAGTCTATATTATCAGTCTAGGAAGTGCAAATCAAGGAAGTTATCTTTTAAAAATGCAAACTGAAAAAGATTCTCAAGAGTCCCTTTGCAGGGAGGCACTCCTTCAGGTTACAACATGTGAAGTTCAGCGAATCCCTATATTGTATAGTGAAGATGAAAGTACAACTAAAGCCACCTGGAAAAAATCCTGTTATTCAGAGTATTTGTACTGACATTTCCATTGCTTACCATAACAATATTGATACATGACAGACACCATGTTTATACAAACACAAGGATTTGTTTATATAGCAAACTACATACCTTCAGCCTACATATCTAGCAGATAGTCCACTTAATTGTTTATAATAATGTTTACATAATACTTTTATTGTCCCACTCTTTCCTCTAAAGAGGTCAAGCAGGTGTATGTGTTGTTCTCATAATCAGTATTTGCAAAAGTCAATGTTTTGGACAACTCTCATACTCTCCCAAGGAACATGACTACTTATTGGAGAATTCTGGAAGGCGTAGTCCAAAAAATGGACATTTCCAAGGTGAGCTCATACAAGCCCATGAGGCAGACTGTCCCAACTACAGGTAGCCCCTCTTTGTCTGAATTCTCCTCAAATGTCAGAGAATTCTGAGGGGAGGGACCCTTTCTCTGTGTATCAGATGCAACATACATGTCCTCTTCTCTGGATTGCTAGATGGTTGAAGGGAGAGATTGGTCTACACTGTTTAAAATGAAAACAGCAAACAGGTAATGTCCGTTTTCTCCACATAAAGTGAGAGAGACCCTTCCCCTGAAGTGTATGTACATGGAATAAGCTTGCAAGAGGGAGGAAAAGGTACCTCATCTGAGGCTTCTAATGTCACATGACATGCTAAAGAAGGAAAGAAACAAAATGGATATCTCCCATTGTTTTTCCCTTCTACAACACCAGGTGCCAACCGACTGATAGCTTTTCTTCTGAAAAATCTGGCATGAGGTGAGAGACCAAATTCTCCATATTCACAAGCTGACTTGTAACAGGACAGGAATTGGTACTGGCCATGGATAATGGCTAGCCAGTATACCAAGATGTAGACATTTATGTTTGCAACTACCCATAATGTGTTGGATGTGCACAAAAGAAACCAAAAGAGCAATGTTGTTAGAGGACTCGTATATTTGCAACACAGTCAATTTAGTCATGATATACCAAAGTGGGTGTAGAAAGAAATGCTAATTGTGTACAGCACAATAGTTTGCTTCTTTCCTGCCAAGAGAGAAACAGATTCTGAAAGTTACCTGTCAGTCTCATCCAATGTGGGGATATGCGTACTTCCCTGGCATGTGAACAGCACACACATATGTCCTAATCTTCAGATCAGACATAGAAGCATGGAGAAGAGGAAGCGCGAGTTGATCACGTTTCCTCTTCAAAACCTCTGAAATGGCTTGGGGACTTTGTTTGAAACTCGCACTGAGAAGATGAAGCCTCTGCTCTGATTTGAAATATTGAAGCTCTGGGCATTATGACTGTTGAGCCCCAGGCTTTCTCCAAAGGCACAAGATGCAACAAATGTCTGGGAGAGAAGCATGTGTGGGCTGGGCAAATGCTTGGATGAGAGGCTGGTTGAGGGACTTTACACATGCCCAGATGACCTCTCCGGATGAGGATAAGTAGGCTAGGCACTCAGAATGACACCTTACATTATTTATATTATGGTGGCTTGTGGTGTTGCTGTCACACAATATGGGACAGGGTGTATGTGTGTCTGTGATGACATTATCTCCCAATCACACCCTATACTAAACCTTATTTGCCTGAGCAACAAGCATAAAGAAGATGTTGGGGGGGGATGTCTCATGATTATCTGTTTTAATCTGCCTAAGTACTTGACAGATTGTGATGGAAAGAACTTAAATCTACCATTTAATCACATATCTTCTAGGTGAGCTGAACATTCTAGTGAGGCGATGTTATAAACAGATGCATGCATTCCAAAGCAGTGACTCCTTTCCTTCAGTTCACTGCTTCCTTTAGGCATAGCTCCACTGAAATGTAAATTCTGTTTTCACTATGGGGAAATCTAAATAAAATGCTAGAGATAGCAACTGATTGCTGCTAAATATGTGTGTGCAGCAGCACTCCGAATCATTTCCATTCCTCTTTTGTCTCTTCGTTTTGTAGAGAAGCATTTCCATGATCCAGCTGTGACTATCAGGCATGAAAGCAGATTTAGGATCAGGTTGGCTTCCCAGGTATTATCTATGTCAATATCATCAGTGCGCATAAAACACTGACCTTCTGTGTGGACCCATACGGTCCAGTGTTCTGTTCGTGAATCTGCTCACCACTCCACTGCTCTCTTCTCCTCATTTGGTCAGCTCAAATTAGGCTTTGGACATCAGTCAAACTGCTTTGGTCCTTGCAAATGCAACCAAATACTTAGTGCTTGTGGCATTGCACACGTCACTTATTTGCCAACAGTTTGCAGTGCATATAGGATACCTCCTCTTAAAGCAGTGGTTCCCAGCCTTGGGTCCCTAGATGTTCTTGGACTAGAACTTCCAGAAATCCTGACCCGCACAGCTAGGGTGAAAATGTCTGGGAATTTTAGTTCAAGAACATCTGGGGACCCAAGGTTCGGAACCATATTGTCTGTAAAGTATGGAGACACACATAACTAGAGATGGGGGTATTCACGTTGGTATACAAATAAAAACACACAGGTGGATATAATGAAGGGCCGGACCATTCACTCACCCATCCACTGCTGTGGGCTCCATGCTCCCTTCCAGTCTCTCGGGAGCTTGTGGTCAACTAGCCACTCCCGGCAGAAGGAGGGAGGACGAGCCTCCCTGCCAGGCTGACGAGTGGCTAGTTCACCATGAGCTCTGGAGTGATTGGAAGGGAGCATGGCAGCAGCGGAGGGTGAATGGACAGTCCAGCCCCTTGTTATGTCCACCTCTGGGGGGGTATTCATAGTTGTATATGATACAAATACCGCAATCTCTACACATAACTCATTCTCACTTCAAGCACTTCCCATCCTTCTCAAAACATGGTTCCTTCCAAAGATTTTAGATGTCACTGAAAGAGTGACTTATGTTCAGTGATGAGGGAAGTTCTAGTCAAAACAACATCTAGAGAGTACATGACTGGGCAATGTCAGTTTATCCAGTCTTCTCTATTTGTACTTACATTAGACTGCTTGTGTCTGAAATCTTTTTCCCGCTGGAGCCTGTAATGGTCTATCTCTGCCATGGCTTCTTCCTTGGCTTGTTTCAGTCTTTTCCCCTTTCCTGGTAAAACAAAAACAGACGCGCCATTTAAATTGGCAATAGGATGCAAGTTAATATTAGTGACATATAGAATTTATTTCACGAGTATATATACTCAGAGTGCACTCACCGGTGGCAGAGAATGTCACTTGTATTGTATTCAGTCACAGTGAATGAATGATCCTCTCTCTCTCTCTCTCTCCCTCTCTCTCTCATAGCACAGCCTCCAGACTTCCCTTTTCTCTTCCCTAGGGCTCTGCTGCAGGCCTGTGTCAAGACTCTCTTCCAAGACAGCTCCCTTTAAGCTATTACCCATTCTGTGGTCTCTGTATCCAACCGATTGGTGGAATGAACACCACAGGTCACAAGTAGAGTTGCCAAGCCAGTAGCATCCCATTCTATGACAATTTAGGGCCCAAACCTGAGGCTGGAGACAGGCCCGTTGGATATTTTGGAAGGTGGAGCATCAAAAGTTGGGGAGCTGTGGCAGAATGCCTTCTGAGTCACTTGACTGTAGCAGTGGGCTGAAGGGGAACCCACGTAAAATCCTACTACACAGGCGATATAGCAACTAAGAGCTGGGAAGGGGGAGTCTATTTTTAGCAACTTGGTGCCAGCTAGAAATATTGGAGTTTTTACAACCTCGCATACTGCCTGTGATTTGAGTGACTGCGGGGAACCTTTCTAGGCTGGGGTGACTGTCAATCTATCCAGCACTAACCAATCATTTTCCCCCTCACATCTGATTTCAAGGAGAGCTCCACCTCTCTGCTCTGTTTTCTTTTTCTGTGTTCTGGTGCGAGTGTTGCTTGTTTGCTGTTGCTATTCACAAGGGTAAATAATAAAATGCTTTTATTCTTGCTTCTACAAGTGTCTCAGAGTGAGTTATTGAGACTTGAAATGCCAGTTAATGAGAAAGGAGTGGGCTGTCTGGAGAACTTGTACCTTTTCTCTTCTGTGAGTCTCTGTACTTTTAGGTAAAGGTAAAGGTTAAAGGTTCTCCTTGAAAATCTTTGTCCAGTCGTGTTCGACTCTAGGGGGCGGTGCTCATCCCCGTTTCCAAGCCGTAGAGCCAGCGTTTTTGTCCGAAGACAATCTTCCGTGGTCACATGGCCAGTACGACTTAGACACGGAACGCTGTTACCTTCCCACCGAGGTGGTCCCTATTTATCTACTTGCATTTGCATGTTTTCGAACCGCTAGGTTGGCAGGAGCTGGGACAAGCACCGGGCGCTCACTCCGTCACGTGGATTCGATCTTACGACTGCTTGGTCTTCTGACCCTGCAGCACAGGCTTCTGCGGTTTAGCCCGCAGTGCCACCACGCCCCTCTGTATTTTTACTGTGTAGCAAAATAAATGTTACCGGAAAGCCCGCAGCGCCACCACGTCCCTCTGTACTTTTACTGTGTAGCAAAATAAATGTTACGGGAAATTCAAACTCTGCAAAAAAAAAAAGGAACAGAGATGGACTCTCAGGCTGTAAAACCTCCTCACAAACACAAATCAGGCTTTCTCTTCTTCCATCACATCTCACCTTGAGATTTTTCCCATCTGCAGACTTGTGGCAGCATAACAGTTCCTTGAGACTGCAGGCATGGCAATCTTACCTACCAGTTATCTCCACTGCTTGTACAGCAACAAGAAATAAACTATTTCCTTTCAGGTTCTTAGGGCATTTTGTGTATTGGGTGTTTAGAATCTGCATGGTGCATTGGGGAACAGAGCTAAGTAGTAAGATCTTTTGACTCACCACTAGCTTGTGTAAAATGCCTTGTGTGATTGGGAACATCTGCAGACACCTGAGCTTGCCGAATTTTAATTCTGAAAAAAAGTCTAGCCTCCCATGCAGAGCTGTGGCAAAATCTGGGTCATCCAGAAACACGACAAGAGCAAACTCTAATGGATCATGATGAACAGGAGCAGGAAGGATCTCTGGCTAACTAGGATGAGGCCTAGTAGACCATGTCCAGAAATTGGCAGGGTTTAGTGTGTCATGTCTGGGGTCAACTGCAAATATCATGTTAGTCTTTGCTCACAGAACCCATACTTTATAGATGTGCTGTGTCTTGATCTATGAAGATGTTATGTGCTATGCCCAAGCTATTATGACACATTCATTTTCAGAACATTTAAGCATGTGCAGGGATGTAAACTCTCACTTGTCTCCTCTGTCCCATGAGGACAAGCAACTGCAACATTATTCTTCTCACCCTGGTGACAACGTAAGTTATTTTGCAATGCTCTCAGCATAAGAACAGAAGAACAATTTTGTATGTGTGAATTAAGCAAAATTGTGCACATAGTGCTTTAAGTCACATAATGCCAGTTGTACAAAATGAGGACAGTTGCGGCTTTGTGCTTGTTGTGGTTTGTGCTTTACTCCTATATGAGGAATGACCTAATTTTTCACAGGCTCCATTTGTGTAAAGGAGGAGGCCTTGCCCCCATCCACCACCAAAGCCACTCCATTATTGCTCTTGTCTAAGGATGCAGATCCTCACAGCACTTAAAAATTCCTTCTCATGGTGTTTCCACTTACCTAGGACAGTCTAGATCTACAACAATGAAGAGTTTAGGTAGTTGGTTTTTTTTAAAAAACATTCCCAGGCCTTTGTTATAAAGGTTAAGAACCACTGGTCTAGACCAACAACAATGAAGAGTTTAGGTACTTGGGTTTTTTAAAAACATTCCCAGGTCTTTGTTACATCAGGTCAAACAAAAAACCCTCTTCCTCATCTTTATTTCAGGACAAGGAGGTAGCTGGGTTGAAGTTTTAAATGTGTGTGCATATACCCCTCTCTCTGTGTATTTAAGAAGTTCACTTTTTTTTAACAATATCCTTAAACATAACAAGTACAACTGCTACCTTTGCCACACAGCCTGTCCCTTTCCACCACTTCCTCTCTGCTGGTTATAGGAAGAAAACTCCTATTGATTTTACAGGGCGATTGGATTATACTCTGGCCATCTTATTTACTAGTTCTCACATCAGTGACCAAATGTTTCCAGGCTCCCTTGCTGAACGGCACTGGGCATTGTCGCAATGCATTCCTCCGTGCAACCGTGAAAGACCCTCTATTCCACTTTCACCTTTAAATCAAATACATCTCCTCCCCCCAATCCCTCCCCCTGTGCAACAGCAACAGCCAGAGAACAGATTTCAGTTGTCGTTGATGAGAAAAGACATTATTCTGCAAGATTTGCCATATTGATTTGCTGCCAGGAACCCTTCAGTCCACACCAACTGGATTCTATTTAATGCTGGCAGATTTCCAAGGGACTACAAAGATGCAGCTCAGACACTAACTGAGTTGCAAGATTTCCATTTTATGGGGTTCCATCCGCCTTCTTTCTTCCCAACCTTTGCTAAAATGCAAAGGTGGGTGTAAACTTCAAAGCAAATTTCCAACAGTAATACATTGTGGACATGAAAGTTAAGGTAAAAAAAAAAATCAAGATCTGGTAAAAGACAGAAAAGCAACAATATTCAGCTAATCATTAGAGAGTTCTAAAAACAAAGTCCTGGCCCCAGCTGGGTCCAAATTTCCACCTATGTGCCAAGATTTCCACCTGCCATATATTCATTTATTTGGATTTGTAAACCTACTTGAGACTGAAGCCTTAAAACAAAACTTCTGCATTTATTAAACTTTTATTCTGCTTCCCACTTCTTGGACCAACACTTTAACATCCAAGTGTGTCAGAGAAGCTGAGAGCAATGGACTCCTAGGAGGGCCGCCCAAAGCAGCAGGTTCACAGCTGAGACACTAGACTAAGATGCATCCATCCTCTTCAAGGGTAATGGCAATATCAGTGGAAAAGAATGGATAGTTAAAATTGTAATGGAGTGGCAGCTACTGGACACCAGCACTAGCTGAAGATGACACTGGCAGAAAATTTTTCAGAGAGCTTGGTGGTGATATTCAAGATAATTTGAAAGTGGCATTAGTAAATCACTGCTGAACTTTTCGTCCTTAGAAAAACCTGTGATGAGATAGACAGTCACTCATGACACAACTAGATTAAGCAACTAGGATGTGTAGTGATTGATATGCATAGAGGTGAACAGAAAGTCTGATGGCACACAATACATACAATTCAAACAATTATTACAAGAAGTATGAATTAAGACAAGCTACAAACGGCAAAGCAAATTGAATGCTGGCATCAGCGAACTAAAATGAACTGGAATGGGACATTTTCAGTCAGATAACTATAATGTGTTTTACTCTGGAAATGACAAACTCAGAAGAAATGGAATCGTTCTCATACTGAGGCAAGATATGGCATAGACAGTTAGGGGCTATAATGCAAAGTCTGACCGAATAATATTAGTCTGACTTCTGAGAAAACCCATCAACATAAACATAATTCACGTCTATGCTCTGACTACAGTTGCTAAAGAAGATGAAATTGAAAGTTTTTATGAAGGCATCCAGGAGGCAATTGATCACACACTTGTAATCATAGGTGACTAGAATGCTAAAGTAGGAAACAAAGCAGGACCAAATGTTGTCAGAAAATTTGGTCTAGGGGTCAGAAAAGAAGCAGGAGAATGATTCATAGAAGAAGTGAAGCATCTTATCCCCAAATGATGTGTGCTGACTGCTCCAGTCACATGATGCATGTGCTTACTTCCTACAATGCTGTATTTACTGTTCCACTCCCAAGAGTTAGCCATTGACAAGGGTAACTCAGCACCAAGGACAGCCCTTCTATATGACATCAGATCACTATACCATAAAGCTTTACCCTGAGACTTCTGTCATCTCATTGGAAAAGAATATTGTTTGCATGCAGAATATCCCAGGTTAATCCTCTGATATCCCACATTGGAAAATACACTTGTCTGAAACCCAAACAGCTGGTATCAATCAGACTTGATAGCAAAGACTAGTACAAATAGTTTGAGTCATTAGACATCGCTTGAAGAACATGCATTAGAATGAGAACTTAAATCTGGAAGGCAGAAAATAGCAAAAAGAGCAATTTGGAATGTTGATATGGCAATATGTATAGA